TGGCCTAGAGACTAGAACGAACTGGCAAGTGACTGAGGAGTGAAACCGGGTAATATAGTGAGCAACCTAATCAAGTGCAGCTGGTGATAAGGGAGTGAGGAACAGGTGAACGTGATTAGTGTTAATGGGCAAGAGACAGTAGGAAAGGTGAGGGAGGCCAGAGCGGCCGAGCAAACCTGACAGTTGCCCCGTTTACTGCCCAGAAAGGTAATCAAAACATAATTTAAAGTAATTACTAACATTACTTTGATGAAATAATTAAAGTAGTCACACCACTTATTACATATTTAACAGGGTAACTGTAACCTATTACATTTCAAAAGTAACCTTCCTAACACTGCCAACAGCATGAAAGCAAAGCTTTTGGTAGCGAACACTTGCATTTTGAATAGTCCCACAACCCAGACAGCTCAAAAAATAAAAAGAAAGAAAAATAAGGGTGACAAAATGTTCTTTGTACTAACTTAACTCCTTCAAAGTTTCATGGCAGGTAGACAGACACAACCATCCATAGAGCCACATTGCTAGTAATGAGGCTGAAAAGTGATAGCTTGTAAGAAATGGCTCTTCTCACCCAGGAGGCCTGCTACTGGCCTTTTTTACACCGTAACATACCTTCGTAATATTGAGTACATCCCTCAGGTTGTTGCACACATTTTGTAATTTACAGTTAGTTTATGGAGGTGAAACCGTCAGGCAGTCTTCCCAGTTGGGTACTTGTATGTCCCACAATGAGCTTGGATAAATCCCTGATATGAACTTCTAACTATATCAATGTACAGTGTACAGTGGGTGTAGGCTGTATGAACAAATGGTTGTTTGATAAACTGATATGTCAGTTTCTTCTTTAAATAATTCTTGTATGATTATAATCCAGTATAAACTGGCAGCTATGGAACAAAGCTGTTTTCCCCCTGATTCTAATACCAATACCTGACAACCGGCTGAGAAATGACTGTGCTGTGAAACTGTGGCTATGCTGAAAATATCTTGATGTTGTCTAAGTTTGGGCAGTTATATGCAGCAAAGAGCACAATGGATCCAGAAATGGAGGGTGTAGTGTCAACGGCTGTTGTCTGACTGGAAATGTTTTAAAGTGTATTTTTCTTTCGACACATCTGTTCATACTGATGTTTGAAATACCAAGGGGTTAGTAGCTTCTCTCTTCCTGCCAGCCTCTATATCTCAGTTGATACTTGGTATCTGTCAGAAACTCCAGCTCCTCCCCGATGAACACCTCCAGCAGCAGCCTCAGGGACATCAGTGCATGCAGCTGCAAACCAGATTTTTCTGGGTTTTCCAACCCCCCTCTTCACAACAGACAGGGGATGTAGCAGCTTGGTGGTGCCATCTCTCATAAGGGGCTGCTGCAGGGTGGCACCAACACCAGGGCAGTTATGAAATCACATGTGGTCAATGGTAAAGATGTTCTGAAATGCCTTGGTTCTAAACCTGTACTCATTTATCAGATATTTTCATAAAGCTGCATATATTGTCCTTTTTTATATTAACAATGGATCATGCAGCTTTCTGTAATGTCACTTGTAGTGATGACCTGTCAGATAATGAGCAGCAAAGCAGTTCCTGTCAGCCTAGCATAGCTTTTTATTATCTTTGAGCTTTCTGTTTCAGTCTTCTGACCCACAACTTGACTCTTTACAGACACTCTCACCAGTGCTGTTCTTGGAACACAAGGGAGCTGTAAGACTCTAATAAGCCATGAGCTACCCGGCCAGCACCACAACAGCGGACAGAAAAAGTTTGCACCTTGGTAGATGACATAGAGGGAAGTTTAGCAGCTTAAGGACCAAATATTTCTCTCAGGAGTTTGATCCAAAACGGATTTAAAAGAAGAGCAAATATAAAAACAAGGGGGACATAAGCACACCTCACAATGAATACAAATTCTGCACTGTGTCTATTGTTTTACATAAAAACACACACACAAAATAATCTGCAGAAGTGTGACCAGCTCCTATTGGAATGACTGTCTAGGAAACTGTTCCTGTGAAAACAGCTGACTGTGTTGCTGTTGAGATTTGAAATGTAATTCAGATGCCTGGAGCAGCACAAATTAAATTCCACTGCCACCACTGTATCAGGGTGGAGGCAGAAATCTCAGAAGCAGACATTTCCATATCTGGGCAAATATGTTTTTGTTAGTTCTTTAATTATTTCTAGTGTGGGTGGCTGTAAGGTCAAACATGCATAATAAGAAATATTTCATTCTTAATAACTGTCTCTGCATCGCTGAATCAAGATATACAACTATTTTTTAGACAATAGCTTCTAATAATATTTGTAATTATGTTGCTCTCTAGTTGTATGAGCTGTCAGTAACACTATATTACAGTCATGAGGTGTGTGCTCTACAGGATTCACAGGAACCTCAGAAAATCCAGCTTCTTCTGTTTTGTATGGCACAGATAATCATACAGCAGTTGCTTTGCTGCTCACAGCTGCAGTCCTGTTGTTTGGGTTTGACGGCACCCTTGGACAAGCAGGTGTATGGCAGTAAAAGGCTACCAAAACTGTCCTGTGCATCTCTGTAGGAGAACTGTAGGTGATACAAAAGCCAAGACAGAATGCCCTGGCATACAGCTGACAGCAGCCACCTCCACACAGGGAACTGAGCACACGTCCCACGGCCACATCCTGGCGTTTCTACGGCAGAAGGCGCCATCTAGTGGTCATTTGTATCATTTGCACTGACTGGGTGGAGCTAAGCAGTATCACTGTCTGAACTTGTTCGGCCACTTTGTTTAGATTCCAATCGGGAAGCAATTCTGAAATGGGTCGTGCTGAGCTGGCGGTCCGTCTGAACCACAGGGAGTACACAAACTGGCTGAAGGCAGGACGCTGCCTCCTCATACTGAAGGATGCTCTCCATCCCTACATCAGCCAGCATATGAGAGCTTTCCACGCAGATCTGCTCAGTCAGAACGCTCTGCTGCGCAAACCGTGTCAGACTTCGTGTAAACCGAGAGGGAATAAGGTGAAACTCTGCCCACGCTTGGCTCATTTAACTATTTATTACACTGTACACTCAGCAATTCACTGCGACCATAGTATATCTTAAAGGCTGTACTATATTTCCCACTTGTTCTCTTATTCTAGCTTTCCTCGGCGTGTAGAGCGTGTACTGAGTGGACAACAGTGATCCTGAGACACAACAAACAGCCCGATGCCACCGTGAACTGGGACAATTGTTCCCCTCCTTCCTGGAGAACAGACTACTGGGAGCTGGCCAAGGTCTTGTGCAAAACACTGCGCGCGCGCACACACACACACACACACACACAATAAGAGCAGCTACTGAAAGGCTTAATTTCTTTAACATGGATTTCACAGGAAATCAGCACTTGTTTATGGGACAATAGTACACGTCCTGCTGTTTCACTAAGGAGATGAGGTTCATGGGAAATGTAGTCCAATGTTGACATAAAGCAGTGTTTTTCAACCAGTGTGCCGTGAGAGATCGTCAGGTGTACCGTGGGAAATTATCCAATTTTACCTAATTGGTAAAAAAAAAAAAAATTGAAAACGAATTCATTATTTTCTGCAAATAATATGCCATTTTCGAGTGTCTGTGTCACTGGTAGAGTAATTATGTATTACTCTTCCATATCAGTAGGTGGCGACAGGTAAGCTAATTGACTGTCTGTGTTGATTGATTGTACTTTGAGACAAGAGAATTAGTGATGCATGACATGTATGT